GGCTTCGTGTGGACGGGGCCTAACCCTGTGGTAAATTACAGGAAAACAAAATTTCCATGCTACCATGTTATTTCCGCCAATTTTTTTTTTGTAATGACTGCACAATTTGCTACTTAAATCTTCAAAGTATGAACTGAAAACAGAACTAGAGATTTCTGGATGTGGTATATATTGTTGAGTGGGTGAATTTAACCTTCCTGAGCTACAAGTTTAAATGATAGAAGCCTAAAAGATATGAGATTAGCCGTCTATCCGGTTCTCAAATGCAGATTATGAGATAAGAAGGTCTCTTAAAGTTTATGACGTAATTTCCAGTAAGAAGTAAATCAATAACAGATCATGCCTACAAATCAAACGTGCTGAACCCGGTAAGTAAACCCAGAGACTGGCATTAATTGTTTTATTAACCCCTCCAAGTTATCTAAGGTGCTGTGGTATCCGACTACAGCAACAGTAATCACATCCCAGGATATAAATACAGAAGGTACGCTGGTAAATTTACCGCATGGATGTAATTACAGAGAGGACGATCACTGACACCTGGAATGAGGACAGCCAGGGCTTTTTTTCTCCCCCCCTCACTCAGACAGATAGCTAGGATTGCCCACCTGGAGGTATAACTATGGCGCAGCGTTCCTATTTGGGGCATTGGGTTTCAGTTAGCATTGTCTCTCAGGTCAACGGTGAAACTTCTGTTCACTCCCAGAAAGTGTTTCTTACTCCAGGGGGTGGGGGGGTGTTCTCATGTGTAGAGGACATTTACAAACACATCCTCACTATGAGGCTGGTGCAACGGCAAAACTGACGAGAGGATCCGCAACTTAAAATACAAAACATTTATTACCTTGAAGCCTCCGATGCGATGGTCTCTTTTGAACTCCTTCCCGTTCTTGTACCATTTCAGGGTGGGAGTTGGGTTGCCGCTGGCCTGGCATCGAAACTTCACGGTCTTACTGGCCGGAACAGCGTGAAGCTTTTTCTCCATTTTCTCTGGGTGAGCCCACTGTGGGGCCATTGCTGATAAACACAGGAAGAAACATACAAGTGAAACGTTTGATCACATTTGTTATTTGCAGAACAATGAAGCAGACGGTGTGGAAACATTTAGAGCCGTTTAAGCCATGTGTAAAAAAAAAATACAAACAAGAAAAAAAAAGGGAAGAATTGTCTTTTTACACTGGAAAATGTCGAAATCTAAAAAATACTTTTTTTTCCTAAAATAAGTGCATTTGTTTTCGCATTGAAGAGGTAAAAGAGACATTTTGCCAATGGAACAAGACAATTTACATTTAATATAAGAAAACACAATTACATTGTCTTATTTCAAGTGCATAGTATCTAATTATCTTATTTTAAGAGTAAAAATACTAATTCCAATGGCAAACTATCTCATTGACCTACTCTAATTACAGGTAAATAAACTTAATCTAAGAAATTTTTACTTATTTCTAGATCGTTTTTCCAGTGTAAATTGGGGGAACACTGCAAAAACAATCTTAAAATTAGAAAAAAATTCTTAAAATAAGTGACTTGTCCCTTAATTTGAGAGGGTTAATAAGACTATCTGCAAACGGAATGAGTATGTTTAGCCTAAGAATAAGATAATTAGATATTATGCACTTGATATAGGAGGCTGCTGTTGTTTTTCCTTATTTCAAATGTTAATTGTCTTACTCTGTTGGCAAAAAGTCACACTTACCTGCTCAATTCAAGAAAAAAATGCACTTAATTTAAGAAAAATTGACTTAATTAGGCCCCGTCCACACGAAGCCGAACCCTGGCCTAAACGCATAAATTTTTCACCAAACCAGGCTCTCATCCACACGAAGCCGGCGTTTCGGGGGTCTGTAAACGAGTGGGAAGATTCTGAAACGCCGTTTTCGCGTTTCCATCTTTAAGCTCTAACCGCCTTTTTTTTCTTACACGCATGCGTCATAGCGTCGCCTCTAAACACGCATGCGCGACACAGTATCACAACAACAATG